GATTCAACAGCTGCAGATCATGCCAGGTGGCTGAATGGTAAATCTACGGTTGCAGATTATGCCAGGTGGGTGAATGTCGAATCTACGGTTGCATGCCAGGTGTGAATGGCGAATGTACGGTCGCAGATCATGCCAGGTGGGTGGATTTAGAATCGACGGCTGCAGATCATGACAGGTAGGTGGATTGGGCAATATGGGGTAAGAACTCCTGCATTGACCTGTGCCATGACCCATGAAGTGACCCATGAATTGACTCATGCACTGACTCATAAGTTAACCATGAATTGACCCATGTCTTGACCACGAGTTGACCCACCCATGCGTTGACCATAAGTTGACCCATGCGTTGACCCATGAGTTGACCCATGCGTTGACCATGAATTGACCCAAGTGTTGACCATGAGTTGACCCATGTGTTGACCCATGTGTTGACCCATATGGTGACCCAGTTGCACTCTCGTTCGCTGACCCGTGCTTTGACTCATCTCAAATGGCTTGAGAGTCAACTCAAAAGCCACCATCCTCCTTGCCTGGTCCTCTCTCCCACTCAGTGCACTTCTTTTCTGGACCTCTCTTTGCAACTTCTGGAACCACATATGGAGCAGCATATGTTCAGCAGCACTATTTGTAAAAAATTCCAAAACCGCTAACAGTAGTAACCCTCCTACCCTGTGCGTTTCGCATGTATTTTCAGGGGCTCGCGAGCTCATCGCCTTTCTTGACGCCCAAAACATTAGGCGAGGGCTTATAACGAGGAATGTGAAGGACTCAGTGGACCATTTTCATAGCAGTTTCGAGGTCAGTCTCATACACGTTAAGGAATTTATTGTTACCAGCACTGGGCTTTTAATGAGGATTGTGAAGGATTCAGTGGACCATTTTCATAGCAGTTTCGAGGTGAGTGGGTCACATACCCTTTAAGGAATTTCTTGTTACCAGCACTGGGCTAATAACGAGGAATGTGAAGGATTCAGTGGACCATTTCCATAGCAGCTTCGAGGTGAGTGAGTCTCATACCCGTTGGAATTTCTTGTTACCAGCACTGGGCTTTCAATGAGGATTGTGAAGGATTCAGTGGACCATTTTCATAGCAGTTTCGAGGTGAGTGGGTCTCATACCCTTTAAGGAATTTCTTGTTACCAGCACTGGGCTAATAGCGAGGAATGTGAAGGATTCAGTGGACCATTTCCATAGCAGCTTCGAGGTGAGTGAGTCTCATACCCGTTGGAATTTCTTGTTTCCAGCACTGGGCTTATAACGAGGAATGTGAAGGATTCAGTGGACCATTTTCATAGCAGTTTCGAGGTGAGTGGGTCACATACCCTTTAAGGAATTTCTTGTTACCCGCACTGGGCTAATAACGAGGAATGTGAAGGATTCAGTGGACCATTTCCATAGCAGCTTCGAGGTGAGTGAGTCTCATACCCGTTGGAATTTCTTGTTACCAGCACTGGGCTTTCAATGAGGATTGTGAAGGATTCAGTGGACCATTTTCATAGCAGTTTCGAGGTGAGTGGGTCTCATACCCTTTAAGGAATTTCTTGTTACCAGCACTGGGCTAATAGCGAGGAATGTGAAGGATTCAGTGGACCATTTCCATAGCAGCTTCGAGGTGAGTGAGTCTCATACCCGTTGGAATTTCTTGTTTCCAGCACTGGGCTTATAACGAGGAATGTGAAGGATTCAGTGGACCATTTTCATAGCAGTTTCGAGGTGAGTGGGTCTCATACCCTTTAAGGAATTTCTTGTTACCAGCACTGGGCTTATAACGAGGAATGTGAAGGATTCAGTGGACGATTTCCATAGCAGTTTCGAGGTGAGTATCATTACAGTTATGAGGTACCTCGTTACCAGCATGGGGCTTATAACGAGAAATGTGACGGATTCAGTGGACGATTTCCATTGCTGTTTCAAGGTGAGTTTCATACCCGTTAAGAGGTACCTTGTTACCAGCATTGGGCTTATTATGAGCGATGTGAAATATCCAGTTTACCATTCATGTATACGTCTCTCCCTATTCCTCTTTCTTCCATCCACATCTCCACCTTTCGTCTGCTTCTCCAGTAGAATACATTTGTCGCCACATGCTCGACGCTGCCTCTTTACTTCCACAAGATCCTATTTGTGCACGATGTGCACAAGATCTTATATGCTCCATATGTTCGTATTCTCACCTTCTGGCCCTGTTACCAGGTCCCGCCTTTTTCACCTGCCCTCAGTCGTGAATTCCAACCATATAAGCCGCATGCCGCCCCGTTGTTGCATATATGTGAACAATGGGGTGTACATCCTTCGGAGGTGATTATGGTTGGAGACTCTGCAAAAGACGATGTAAGATGTCAAACTCTTTGTAATGTAACATTCGTGTGATTCGTATCATGCTTGTCCTCGTTGTGCTCCTTAACATTGCTCCCTGCTCACCAATTATATCGTTGGGCTTTTGCAGGTGGTGTGTGGAAAGAGAGCAGGTGCTATCACATTTTTTCTTGACGAGGATGGCAAGTTCCCCAGCGTTGACGAGATGCCAGAAGAAATCAGACCCCATTTTCGTATCAGAACTTTGAATGAGATGCTGAATCTCCTTATGTCACCAATGTTTGTGCTACACTCTGACTAGTTTTCTAAGCTATATGTATTGCAACATAACATGTCAAGCCTGGTGTACTCGATACGAACCTTGCAACATCCAACATACACATGACACTGTGGTGTCGCACCGTCAATTAGGGCGCGTCATTCTCATGTCAGGTCAGCTCAATTTATGCAACCCAAAACGAAATTCGTAGGGTAACCAGCTAGCTAGGATTAAAACGTCTCCCCATTCACAAATGTGCCAAAATGTGAGGACGCTGTATCGGCATGACCCCCCACGAACCAAATTCGTTCAGATTTCAAACTGTGGCGAAGACTCAGCAGCTTCCTCTCTCAACAGTAAAAAACTACGGTAGGCGAAATATTGAATCAAGAGAAAGTCAGATGTGGCGAACTCTCGCTTATCAGGTCGCGTCGTGGAGGCATTGGGCGCACAAGATTGGCGGTTCTTACTTTTGTGGATACCCCTGTTACCAGTGACGAACTGGTTGGCGCTAGAGACAAATTGTGAGAGTCGCAGAACAGTAGACGGAATTGTAACAGAGCCGGAAGATGTGTCCCCCCCGCTTTTTGGTGACCTGATTCGGTTTCCAGCACGTCTCAGAAACGTGCTATCTGATCTGTGCAGATCTCGAAAATTTGCGTCATTTTGCCGAGACGAACGCGGGGGACCCGCCCTTAGGCTCTGTGCCACCGCCAGCTCGGCGACGGCGTCCATGTATGGCCGTCGGCCGACTGACCGAACCGAACCACTTTTGTGCTGACATCACGTGTGTCAGTCAGGCTGGCAGCCTCATCGCATGCACCTGTTGGCGTCCAGCCCAGCAGTCATGCACCGTCACGCACCGTCTGCTTGGGCTGGCAGTGTTGACGGAACGTGATTGGTATTCAGTTTGTCCTCCGTCAAAAACAGACGACAGCTGTTTGCTGCTGATAACGAGTTCGCCACGCTGGCGCGTGAAAACCAGCCACAGCTCCACCACCGCCACCACCACATCACATTGGCCACCGTCTCAATGAAATCCACCAAATTCAGTCATTTCGGTCCACGCGATTCGTTTCTCCGAACCTCGTTTTCTCCCCGAAACCAGACCAGACGTACCAAACCTGGGTGTTTGCCTGAAAAAATGGATATGGTGTTGACAGCACTGACATCGGTGTGGACGACGTCCTCAACCAAATGATACCCACAGAAACGCTATATATAAATTATGAACCGAATAGAAACTAGTGAGACTTGTACACCACACTGCTTCGGCTTACCAAACGTCCATCTTGAGTCAGTGCACTCTGCTGCTGTCGGTTACACACCACTGACGTACTACAAGGTGAGGCTCGGCAGCACATGATGCCAGTCGTGCGGTTTCGTTCCTTTCGAGTCAATCTATCGTAGCCAGACCAGCCCATAAGCAGGTTCGTTACCCGGTGACTGATTGGCTGTTCGATTCGTTCAATGGGTTCGGTTCTTCTGTAGACAGGCAGCAGAAGTGGGAGAATAAAGACGAACAACAAGCACATCGCCAAGCACATCTCGCGACTCGCTGCTCTTTCTTCTGTTCCTTCTCTTGGACATCAGAATGGTCGGAATGGGTAGCGTCAGATTCTGTAAGTGGCATTCCTTCGTACCGTCCATAAACACTAATTATTGCACCGCACCACTTTGTACCTTGTCTCCTCTAATTCTTCACCTCGGTTGTTGTTGGCTGGTCGTCGGGATTTGCGAATCGCGATTCCCCGCGTCGGGAGAATCGTCGTGGTGATTGGCGCTAGTCAAACCGACATGCTTGCTGCTAGTCAAACCGACTCTGCCTGTTATATTGCCTGTTATGGTGGAATCACCATCGCTAAAAAAACCATTTCAAACCGTTAAACTAGCCAGTGAAACATTGTAAAACGTGTAGCACCTTGCCGAACCGTACTGCCTTGAACTACCTCCACACACCGCGACAGCCCATTTTGACAACTGGGTTTGACAGCTGCTAGACAAGGCCCAGAAAACTAGACTGATTGCGTTCAACTCGATGCTTGCTGTTCAGTCATGCAATGTAGCTTCGATTCGTTCAGACCCAGAAAACCAGAGCGTCCAGAGAATCTCCAGAATAATATCGTTCGCGGGTTACGAGCCTCCACTTAGCTATATTATTGCGTCTCTAGAGACCCCACCGCACTATGACTCGTCCTTGTCTCCTCCGCGGCTTCTAAAACCAGAATTCTACCTTCTGAAGCCATCTTTCGTCGTTAATTCTACAGCGACTCTAAGTCAATAGCTTTTCTCGGTTTCCCGAATCTCGATTTACTCGATTCCTAATTCCCACGTCGCCAGTTTCCCGGTTTCTCTTCGCAGCCGTAACCATGGTTGGGCCAAAAAAATCCTCCGAATCCTTCCTTCGCGACTTAATCGGCGGGCGCTACCGCCGACTGCGGCTGATTGGACGCGGATCGCACGGCACGGTGTGGGAGTGCGAAGACATCCGCACGTCCCTCCGCGTCGCGTGCAAATCCATCCCACACGTGCCGCGCGATTCGACGCCGCCGCCGCCGTGCTCCTCCGGGGGCGGCCGGGGGCCGGGGCCGCCGCCGCCGCCGTGCTCCTCCGGGGGCGGCCGGGGGCCGGGGCCGCCGCCGCCGCCGTGCTCCTCCGGGGGCGGCCGGGGGCCGGGGCCGCCGCCGCCGCCGTGCTCCTCCGGGGGCGGCCGGGGGCCGGGGCCGCCGCCGCCGCCGTGCTCCTCCGGGGGCGGCCGGGGGCCGGGGCCGCCGCCGCCGCCGTGCTCCCGCCGCCGCCGTGCTCCTCGGGGGGCGGCCGGGGGCCGGGGCCGGGGCCGGGGCCGCTGCCGCTGCCGTGCTCCTCCGGGGGCGGCCGGGGGCCGGGGCCTGGCCCGTTGCCGCCGCCGTGCTCCTCCGGGGGCGGCCGGGGCCTGGGCCGGGGCCGGGGCCGCCGCCGCCTCCGCCGCCTTGCTCCTCCGGGGGAGGCCGGGGGCCGAGAGCCGGGGCCCGGGCCGAGGCCGGGGGCCGGGGACGGGGCCTGGGCCGGGGCCGGGTTCAGCAGCACGACAAAGTCACGAAACTTGCATGGGTAGGAGCACATAACAAATATTAGAGTGGTTGGAACGGTGAAGGGTTGCTGATGACGCTAAGCAATGCATCATCGAGAGTACGCACAAAATGAGATGAGAACTTACTGCTTGTCCGTCGACACATCGAAACGGGGGGTTGAGCCCGGCAAAAAGCATCACCAGGCCCTTGCGCTGCTGCCTTTCACCAACCTGTGGAGAAATATAGGAGCCCATGGTAGTCTGCCTACTCCCCTCGACAGTGGCTCCTGTCAACCCACTCGGACCGCCCCCCCCTGGCTGCTGGGATGTCGGGCCACGTATCAGCATGCTCCCATGGCCACTTGGTCTTATCGGGTACGGATGGTCCCCACCCCCCAATCCGGCATCGCAAGCCCCTTCTAGCTTCTTCGGGTCCATGAAGCGACGAACCCATGAAGGCGTGGGTAGTGCTTCCTCTATTAATGCCTCCTCCTCGCACTCATGCTACTTGATCCCTACTTCATCTAGGTGCTGCACTTCAGACAACGCCTCTTCTCATTCACTAACGGGCCGAACATGCCACGCACCAAACCTTGCTCTCTCAAATTCTAGACCTTCTCCACAACCGGATCCAAGTCATCTTTGGTTGATAGTCTGTTGGCCTCCCTCATAGCATTGATAGTGGCCCAGGAAACCCCAACGTAGCGCCTAGTAGCAGTTGGCGCAGCACCTACAGCTGCAGCGTACGGAGGCGCAGCAGCAGCTGCAGTAGGGGCAGCAGCTGCGGGGAGAGCAGGCGCAACAGCGGCTGGCACTGACCCTGCAGTAGGTCCAGTACCTCCAACATCACTCGAAACACCCGCCCATCCACCGTGGCCCCTTCAGTATGAGCCAGCCGCCCGGGCCCGTGACCATCAGCCACACGCGCTATTTTCTGCCCTGCACGGCACCCACGCCCCTGTCCACCGGTTTCGCCATCACTCACACCATCGTCACCATTACCCGACTGCCAAGTAGGGTCACACTCCTCTGCTCATGGCTGACCAGCTGCTGGCTGCTGCAGTGCCTGCTACCATCGTTGCTCCTCCCATGCCACCCTCCTCGTGACCACTTCTGCATGAGCTGTCTCGTCCACGCCCGGGGAGAGTTACCAAACTGGAAACCCTTTTCCATGAAGGATGGGATGCCAAGGCCACCAGCCCATCCCCGGGGTTCCGGCCCCCCGCGGGCGGGCGGGCGGCGGCAGCGGCGGCTACGGCCGCGCCCTCAGCCCCTCCCCGGCGGCGGCCCCGGGGTCCAGGGCCCCCCGCGGGCGGGCGGGCGGCGGTGGCGGCGGCCGCGCCCGCAGCCCCTCCCCAGGGTCCCGGCCCCCCGGCGGGCAGGCGGGCGGGAGGGAGGGCGGCAGCGGCGGCCGCGCCCGCAGCCCTTCCCCGGCGGCGGCCCCGGGGTCCCGGGCCCCCCGCGGGCGGGCGGGCGAGAGAGCGGGCGGCGGCGGCCGCCGCCGCGCCCGCAGCCCCTCCTTGGCGGCAGCCCCGGGGTCCCGGCCCCACCGCGGGCGGACGGGCGGGAGGGCGGGTCTCGGCCCCCCACGGGGGCGGGCGGGCGGCGGCGGCCGCCGCCGCGTCCGCAGCCCCTCCCCGGCGGCGACCCCGGGGTTCCCCCCCCCCCCTCCCCCTCCCCCCCCCCCCCCGAGGGCGGGCGGGCGGGAGGGCGGGCGGCGGCCCCGGGGTCCCGGCCCCCCGCGGGCGGGCGGGCGGCATTTGTGGACTGTTAAGACATTTTTTGAGGCATTTTCAGCATAGTTACAAGAAGCAAAGAACATGCAGGAAGTCGAAAAAGAAAATGAAGTCGAAAAAGAGAATGGAGAACAAGAGGAGGAAGGAGTGGAGGGAAATGGAGAGTAGTCAGAGGTACGCCTCGTGCACCCCGTCCGTTGCCCTTACCCCTCCATTGCACATGTCCACATGACATCACGACACTATTTTGTCCCCATGGAGCGCTGAGCTGCACGTAATTATGGAGTTAGCACCTGGCGGAGATCTCTTAACGGAGCTCATGCGGCGCGGTGCGTTGAGCGAGCTGCTGGCTGCTACAGTGGTGCGGCAGCTCGCATCGGCTGTCGCGTTCTGCCACGCGTGCGGCATCATGCATCGCGACATCAAACCCGACAACGTGCTGCTCGTGCGCCCGCCGCCACCTCCTCCGCCCGCGCGCACGCCGCCAGCGGCAGTGACGCTCGCAGCCGCTTGGGACCACAGCAGTAAAAGCAGCGGGAGCAGCAGCAACAGCAACCACGGGAGCAGCGGCGGCAGCACCAGCAGCGGCATCGGCGGCGGCAGCAGCGGCAAGTCGCATCCCCACGGGAGCCATCACCACCATCATAATCATGCACCGGGGCACGCGGTTAGGGTTCTCCAGAACCGAACCAACGTCTTTGGCTTGACAAACTGCCAGAGCACGGGCGCGCTCCCATCGCGGGGAGGAGATGATTCCGCCGCGCCTGCTTCCCCGCCTGCCAAGACTGGTTCAACGTCGCTCCCTTCTTCCCCCACTAAATCCAACCTACGTTCCGCTGCCTCCCCCGCTGCCTCCCCTGCTCCCCCATACTCGAGCGCCGCCAGTGCCCCTCCTTCCCCGCCCGCCTCCCCTTGCACTCCCCCGTCCCCCTTGCGCAACAAGAGCCCGCGGCCCTGCAAATCCGCAGGCCCCTCTTGTGGTTCCGCCGTTTCATGCGCTTTTTCCGCGCTCGGCGCGACTTCCGCGCGCGGGGCAAGCGGTGGCGCACGCCTTGGCGGAAGCTTTGGCGCGAGCCGTAGCGCAAGCCTTGTCGGAAGCTCCCCCCTGGGGGAATATTACGTGGGCGCGGAGCGGCAGATTCTGGGGGTGAAACTCGCGGATTTTGGGGTTTCCGCGATTCTGAAAGGGGGGATGCGCGAGCTCCGCCGCAGCAGAGGCGCGGGGACGCCCGCGTATATGGCGCCGGAAATGGGTTGGCAGAAGCGGGGGGGCGGGCGCGGAGAAGCAGGGGCGGAGATGGGGGAGCAAGAGAACGCGGGGCGAAAGGTTCTGAACGAAGGGGTAAATAACCCTAGTTCTTCAGATCTGCCCGAGTACGGCGTGAAGGCAGACGTGTGGAGCCTCGGGGTAACACTGTGCACAATTTTGACTGCCCGGATTCCTTCCCATCCTGTAGACTTTTCAAAACCCGAATGGGAGGGGGTTTCGGCAGATGCAAAGGATCTGGTCCGTCGGATGCTGGTGGTGGACCCGGATCAACGGCTGAGCTCGTTCGAGGTGCTGGAGCATCCGTGGCTGAACCAGACGGCCGTTCGATCGTTGGACCCGGCCGTGCGCTGCCCCCACCTGCTCTCGCCCTCCCTGCCTGGCGAAACCACTGGTAACCAGGTTACAAGGATCGTCTGCATGTAGCTGTTGTATCAGGGGCAGCAGCGAAGCCAGCAGAAGCAGCGGCTGTAGCAGGGACAGCAACTGAACTTTGCAGCAGCAGATGCGCAGGAGCAAACGCTGTACCAGGGGTAGCAGCGAAGGCTGTAGCTGGACAGCAGCTAATGGTTGCAGTGGCAGATGCTGTGGCAGAAGCATCAGCAAAGAAGGAACAGCAGTGATGGTGTTAGCTGCTATGGATGATGGACGTTTTACATCCATGCAGTACCTCAGCTGAGACGGGCTTTGAAGGTCAACCATACATGCGGTGAAACGTCCGCTGGACAAATGACAGGAACAACGGGATGGTGGGTGGGTGGGTGGTGTGCGGCAAACCCCAAATCAGCAGCAGTCGCTGAAGCAGAAAGGCTTTCAGCGTCAGCAGCAAGACAGGCTTTGAAGATCAACAGTACATGTTTTGAAACGTCCATTGGACAAAATAACTGGGAGAGGGGATGGTGTGGTGTGGTGGGTGGGTGATGTGCAGCAAACCCCAATTCAGGTTGCGGTTTGGTGTACATCGCTTCCCCCACCCTCCTCCTTGCTCCAATAACGAGGCGCTCCTTAAAGCCCGAGTCTAGAATGGCAAGGGTTCATAAATACTGAACTTGAAAAGGGTTGCGCGAAGGTTTACGAGAAGAAATTTCGCCGGAGGCAGGTGGCGAAGGCGGAGTGCTCCACAGTGTATCGCAAATCAACTTCAACTTCAAGAAACTTGAACAAACACTAACGACAAAACCAAACCCAACCACACTCACGCAGCTCACAACCCAGAGTTTCGCCAAGTCCACAAGCGCACTCTTGGAGCAGGCTGAGAAAAGCGTGCGAAGTACCGGATACATAGAACATCACTGTTAGGAAACTAAGTATCCAGACTAAAATAGCTAGGTATAACATGTGAGAATATATACTTTTATGGCGGAATCGAGAGGAATCCGAGGACCGAGGGAGGGAATGTGGCGCGAATGCGAGTGTGAAGCACGGAGATAAAAGGCGGCACGAGATGAGAAATTAGAGCGTTGTCGACCTCGCTTCCCCCGTCCGTCGATCTCGCATCCACCGTCCGTCGCCCTCGCTTCCCCCTTCCGTCGCCCTAGCTTCCCCCATCCGTCACCACAGCTTCCCCCATCCATCGCCCTCGCTTCCCACTCCCATCACCCTCGCTTCCCCCGCCCATCGCCCTCGCTTCCCCCGCCCATCGCCGCCCATCGCCGTAGCTTCCCCCGCCCATCGCCCTCGCTTCCCCCTCCCATCGCCCTCGCTTCCCCCTCCCATCGCCCTCGCTTCCCCCTCCCATCGCCCTCGCTTCCCCCTCCCATCGCCCTCGCTTCCCCCGCCCATCGCCCTCGCTTCCCCCTCCCATCGCCCTCGCTTCCCCCTCCCATCGCCCTCCTTCCCCCTCCCATCGCCCTCGCTTCCCCCTCCCATCGCCCTCGCTTCCCCCTCCCATCGCCCTCGCTTCCCCCTCCCATCGCCCTCGCTTCCCCCGCCCATCGCCCTCGCTTCCCCCTCCCATCGCCCTCGCTTCCCCCTCCCATCGCCCTCGCTTCCCCCTCCCATCGCCTCGATTCCCCCTCCCGTCGCCCTCGCTTCCCCCTCCCGTCGCCCTCGCTTCCCCCTCCCGTCGCCCCCGCTTCCCCTGCCCATCGCCCTCGCTTCCCCCTCCCATCGCCCTCGCTTCCCCCTCCCATCGCCCTCGCTCCCAACTCCCATCGCCCTCGCTTCCCCCTCCGGTCGCCCTCGCTTCCCCCTCCCGTCGCCCCCGCTTCCCCCGCCCATCGCCCTCGCTTCCCCCTCCCATCGCCCTCACTTCCCCCTCCCATCGCCCTCGCTTCCCCCTCCCGTCGCCTTCCTCGCTCCCATCGCCATCTTCCCCTTTGCTTGTTTCCCCTGCTCATTCTCGACCCCTTTGCTTGTTTCCCCCTGCTCATTCTCCTTCCCCCCGCTCACTCTGTTTCCCCTGCTCACTCTGTTTCCCTGCTCATTCTTCCCCTTTGCTTGTTTCCCCCTGCTCATTCTCTTCCCCCCAGCTCACTTTGTCTCCCCTGCTCATTCTCTTCCCCTTTGCTTGTTTCCCCCTGCTCACTCTCTTCCCCCCGGCTCACTCTGATTCCCCCTGCTCATTCTCCTTCCCCTTGGCTTGTTTCCCCCTGCTCATTCTCTACCCCTTTGCTTGTTTCCCCCTGCTCATTCTCCTCCCCCCCGCTCACTCTGTTTCCCCTGCTCATTCTTCCCCTTTGCTTGTTTCCCCCTGCTCATTCTCTTCCCCCTGGCTCACTTTGTCTCCCCTGCTCATTCTCTTCCCCTTTGCTTGTTTCCCCTGCTCATTCAGTTCCCCCCTGCTCACTCTGTTTCCCCCTGCTCATTCTCTTCCCCCCTGCTCACTCTGTTTCCCCCTGCTCACTCTCTTCCCCCCTGCTCACTCTGTTTCCCCCTGCTCATTCTCTTCCCCCCTGCTCACTCTGTTTCCCCCTGCTCATTCACTTTCCCCCTGCTCACTCTGTTTCCCCCTGCTCATTCTCTTCCCCCCTGCTCTCTCTGTTTCCCCCTGCTCATTCTCTTCCCCCCTGCTCACTCTGTTTCCCCCTGCTCACTCTCTTCCCCCCTGCTCACTCTGTTTCCCCCTGCTCATTCTCTTCCCCCCTGCTCACTCTGTTTCCCCCTGCTCATTCTCTTCCCCCCTGCTCACTCTGTTTCCCCCTGCTCATTCTCTTCCCCCCTGCTCACTCTGTTTCCCCCTGCTCATTCACTTTCCCCCTGCTCACTCTGTTTCCCCCTGCTCATTCTCTTCCCCCCTGCTCTCTCTGTTTCCCCCTTCTCATTCTCTTCCCCCCTGCTCACTCTGTTTCCCCCTGCTCACTCTCTTCCCTCCTACTCGCTTTGTTTCTTCCTGTTCACTCTATTTTCCGCTGCTCAATCTGTTCCCCCTTTCACTCACCCCCATTTCCAACCTCGCAGGGTACAAGTCCCAGCACCATGGCCCAGGGTTTATTGCATGCAGTGTAGCAGAGTGGGTATAAAACATTACATTTCCAAGCTGTCTTCTTCGTGTTGATAGTCAGTTGTTCCCTAAAAAAATAAAAGTACTTTCGCTGTTGCACTTTTTTTGTAGTGGTCATGTGCATGGCTGCTCATAAGCTCAGGGTTTGTATTGTATTACCGTGTAACAAAGCATCCACCATGAATACATGGCATGGCTGGTCATTGTGGTACTATCAAACACCAACATCACCACAACCAGTTGCATAGAGGGCCTGTACAAACACAAACTAGCGCGTAGGGAGGGGGGAGCCGCGCGGGGAGAAGTGGGGAAAGCAGCTCGTCAGGAAGGGGAATGCGAGCGCGCATGGAAGGGGGGAAGCTGCGCGTAGGAAAAGAGGGAAAGGGAGGGCGGGGTGAAGGGGGAAAGCAGATTGAGGGAAGGGGGGACACCGCATAGGGACGGAGGGTAAAACAGCATAATCTAGAGGTGTGGAGGGAAGGAAGGCGCGGGAGGGATAGTCTAGAGGGAGGGAAGCGACGGGGCGGATATTGTGATTAGTGCATGGTTCACAGTGCATGAGGCATGAGGCACGTGGAATGGTGCATGGTGCATGGTGCATTGGGCATACCGTTTTGAGAGGGGAAGGAGATGAGGGGCTGAGAGGGAAAGGAGGAGAGGGGCTGAGACGGAAAGGAGGAGAGGGGCTGAGAGGGTAAGGAGGAGAGGGGCTGAGAGGGAAAGGAAGAGAGGGACTGAGAGGGAAAGGAGGAGAGGGGCTGAGAGGGAAAGTAGGAGAGGGGCTGAGAGGGAAAGGAGGAGTGGGGCTGAGAGGGAAAGGAGGAGAGGGGCTGAGAGGGAAAGGAGGAGTGGGGCTGAGAGGGAAAGGAGGAGAGGGGCTGAGAGGAAAAGGAGGAGAGGGACTGAGAGGGAAAGGAGGAGAGGGGCTGAGAGGGAAAGGAGGATAGGAGCTGAGAGGGAAAGGAGGAGAGGGGCTGAGAGGGAAAGCAGGAGAGGGACGGAGAGGGAAAGGAGGAGAGGGGCTGAGAGGGAAAGGAGGAGAGGGGCTGAGAGGGAAAGGAGGAGAGGGACGGAGAGGGAAAGGAGGAGAGGGGCTGAGAGGGAAAGGAGGAGAGGGGCTGAGAGGGTAAGGAGGAGAGGGACGGAGAGGGAAAGGAGGAGAGGGGCTGAGAGGGTAAGGAGGAGAGGGGCTGAGAGGGAAAGCAGGAGAGGGACTGAGAGGGAAAGGAGGAGAGGGGCTGAGAGGGAAAGGAGGAGAGGGACGGAGAGGGAAAGGAGGAGAGGGGCTGAGAGGGAAAGGAGGAGAGGGGCTGAGAGGGTAAGGAGGAGAGGGGCTGAGAGGGAAAGCAGGAGAGGGACTGAGAGGGAAAGGAGGAGAGGGGCTGAGAGGGAAAGGAGGAGAGGTGCTGACATGGAAAGGAGGATAGGAGGCGGAAGACGCGGAGAAGCGCGACGACGAACAGATGGCAGAGCCATTGATGTGACTGCATGCGGAAATGAAAGGATGCGGTCCAGGCAGGGGAACTGAAACCGTGGTGTGAAGACAGGCGGGAGTGCTGCGCGCTACAAGGTGAGCGAGCGACGGAATGAGTGAGCGCGGGAAGAGAGTGTGTGAGCGACAGGACGCATTCAGGGACGGGAGTGCGTGAGCGGCGAGAGTGAGTGTGCGGAACGGGAGTGTGTGAGCGACTGGACCTAGGTCATCAGCTGACGCAAGGCGATTGCCCTGTTTGGGCGGTGGGTTTGTTCGAGCGACGGAGGGAGTGCGCGACGGATCGAGTGAGGGACGGATGACGAGCGGCAGAGAGGTAAGGGATGGACGGGAGGGAGGAGAAGGACAGGAGCGAGGCGCGGGACGGAAGGGACGGAGGGTGTTGGGCGACGGGAGGGACGGGACGTACGTCCGCGACGGGAAGGACGGGAGGGACGGAGGAGGGACAGAAGGCACGACTGGGACGGGAGTGACGGGAGCGGCGGCCAGGACAGACGCGACGAGGGCGACGGGAAGAGCGGGAACGACGAGAGGGACTAGAGAGACGGGAGGGTCGAGTGCGACTGGAGAAGCCGGAGCGGCGGATACAACGGAAGAGATGGTTTATGAGATTTCACTTGCGCCTACCGCGAGCGATCGGATGAATTGGGAGTGTAGTTATCGGTAGCTGGCGATATTATTGTGGGCTATGGAGCCTACTACTAAACGAGTCTAGAAAGGTAGCTTCAAGCTTCAAGTTTCCGGAAGTGTGAACAGTTGTGTCAGTTTTTGTTTGTTCTGGCGAGGGTCGTCAGTGGTTTTGCTGTTGTGCTTTTATCCAATCACATTCCTGCCCTTCAAACACCTTCACACTGGATCGCGAGAGAGCCCCACAGAAAAGCAGGTTACCGTGTTCACCTGCGAAATCATGTTCAAGAATCTTGAACTTGAACCCTTGCCATTCTAGACTCGGGCTTTAAGAAGGGACCTTTTAGCAACAGCCAGAGCAGGTTTACTGTAGATCCACTGGTGAGTTACGCCTCTGCTGGTGAGCTTACTGTGTATGTGGTGTAGAGTTATGGGGCACCGATTTTGAAATCTCTATCCAGAGCTTGCTGTTTTATTCCTGGTGAGCTGCGGCTGCAGCTGAGTACATTGAAAGTTTGGGCTACATTGTCTTGCACTTTTGCTTTGGTGAGAAACAAGTAATCTGTAGCTACACACCCGCTGCAATTTGTATGGTATATTGGTAACACTTTACTCTCAAGATTGGCTTCTGCCTGAAGGAGACTGTGGCCTAATGTTCTGTAGGTGTAGGTTTGTTACAGAATCCCGCTGTAGTCAAACTTCAGATACAATACAAACGCAGCTGAGCTACCTGCCGCAATTCCTCCCTCTCACTTGAGTGCAGCCCAATACGATGTCAGAAGTTAGCCACCTCACTCCCTCTTACTTAACAGCTGTAATAACGTCAAGCCCACTCTCCAACTGAATGCATGCCTACAGTACAGGTATCATCACCTAATTCCACCCTCCCACTTGAGTGCAGCTCCAAGGCAGCATGCCTGGATCAAATCTGTAGGAGAGCTGCAAATTAGATTTACCGTACTTACGGTACTTCCCCACTGAATGCATGCCTACAATACAATACAGACGGGACGGGACCGCCTGTATAACCCCACCCTCCCTCCCACTCGAGTGCAGCTCCAAGAAAGCAGCAGCATGCATGCCTGGCTGGGAAGGATAAAAAAATGTACCAGAGCTGCATATAAGATTCACTTCCCCGCTGCATCCAAACCCTCCGACTTGAGTGCAGCTCCAAGGCAGCTCGCCCGGATCAAAACTGTAGCACTGTATCAGACCTGCCCGAGGCGAAAATTTGTGTTGCTCCCGTTGTAGCATACCCTCCAAGATAAGGCTCGGCATGGATCAATCTGGCCCGGCGTGGTTTGGATTGGCTAGGCGTGGCTCGGTTTGGCTTGGCGTGGTTCGGTTAGGCCCGGCGTGGTTAGGTCTGGCTCACTGTGGTGTGTATTGGTTCAGTGATAAACCGTTGTCCCTGCTACAGAATATAGCGACTGGCCCTGCTGTTGCCTTTGCCTGCAGGCCTTGCTGCAATCTTTCACTCCTGCCCCTGCATTCTTTTATGCCACTGCTACAACCTCTTGCTGCTGCCCTTGCCGCAGTCTCAGCTTCCGCCCTGCTACAGTATTTCTCTGCTGCCCTTGCTGTAGCCTTCCACTCATGCCACTGCTACAACCTCTTGCTTCTGCTCTTGCCGCAGCCCCAGCTTCTGCCCTGCTACAGTAGTTTGAATTGGCTACATTCGCCCCTGCTGCAGCCTTTACTGCTGTCCCTGCTACAGCTGCAACCCTTGGCTGCTCTCCCTGCTACAGCAGCTACGCACAGACGATCCGTGTAACCTGGTTACCAGTGGGTTCGCCAGGCAGGGAGGGCGAGAGCAGGTGGGGGCAGCGCACGGCCGGGTCCAACGATCGAACGGCCGTCTGGTTCAGCCACGGATGCTCCAGCACCTCGAACGAGCTCAGCCGTTGATCCGGATCCACCACCAGCATCCGACGGACCAGATCCATCGCCTCCGCCGGCACCCCTCCCCATGCCGGATGCTCAAAATCCAAAGGAACGGTTGGGATTCGCGCAGTGAGCATCGTGCAGAGAGTCATGCCCATGCTCCAAACATCTGCCTTAAAGCCATACTTACCGGTTTCCGCTCCCACCGCCGCCCCCACGAGGTCAGGTATCGTGCTTTCTCGTCTCATACTTTCAGACAGTCTAGTAATTTCGGGAGCCATGTATACGCGTGTGCCGGCGCCCATGTCTTGGCGTTGGGCGGACATCCCTCCGCGCATAAGCGCTGCTACACCGAAATCGGCAATCTTGACCCCCAGAATTTGCCGCTCTGAGCCAGGATGGTGTGTAGGGATGCAGTTTGGCAGGCTATGAGCTTTTGATTTGGCAGAATTCACTAAGCTGCCGCTGCTGCTGCTGCTGCTGCTGCTGCTGCTGCTGCTGCTGCTGCTGCTGCTGCTAGGGCCCGTGTAACTGCTAGTATTTTCAAGGGTAATCGCGATATTGACCCCGCTGCTGCAGCGACGGTTTGCTCGCTGTGCGTTGGGAGGGGACGGGGATCGCCTGGATCGAACCGGAGAGGAGGGCTCCGATATAACGTCTCTTCGATACAAGGAGCCCTTGTGATCGTCACGCGAAGGACTGCTGTGAGCCGATACGGCCGAATCGCTGTCAGGGAAAGCGCACGTCTCACCACCGCTGCTGCTGCTCCTTTCCCAGTTCCTGCTGCTACAACTGTTATCGCTGTTACCGCCACTGCTGCTGCTACAGCCGCTGCCGCTGCTACAACCGCTATAGCTGTTACCGCCACTGCCGCTGCTACAGCCGCTGCCGCCGCTCGTCACAGCCTGGTTGGTTCGGACGGCGAAAGCCCGCACCGCATTTCCCGGCACGCGCCTCGTAAACCTCCCCCCCTGCGCCCTCTCCCCTCCAAACCTCCCGCTGTCCACCCCGAACCTTCCGCACTCATCTCCGAACCTCACGCTCTCTCCAAACTCCTTCTCCCCCCTCTCCCCCTTCTCCCCTGAGAACCTCCCGGGAGCCAACCCCTCGCGCGATTCCGCTCGCATTTCCCCCGCCGGCGCTTCACATTCTTCCGCCGCTAACGTCATCCCCTGCGGCGTCCGCGCGGATGGCGGAGGCGGCGCCGCCGGCTGCGGCGGCGGGCGCACGAGCAGCACGTTGTCGGGTTTGATGTCGCGATGCATGACGCCGCACGCGTGGCAGAACGCGACAGCCGATGCGAGCTGCCGGAACACTGTAGCGGCGAGCGGCGCGTCCAGCGGCCCGCGCCGCATGAGCTCCGTCAAGAGATCCCCACCCGACGCGAGCTCCATAACGAGGTGCGTCTCGGCGGAGCCTACTATCACTTCGACGAGTCGCACCACGTTCGGATGTCCGCCGACAGTCTTTAACGCGGATACCTCGGTACAGACCTCATGGACCTGCGCATGCGGCGGAGCGTGTCGCGCGCCAGATGCGCCGCCTCTCGCAGCGGGAATTCCGGCGGGAACTGCGCCGGCGGCGGCGGAAGGTCGCCGCGAGTGTGGGATCGTTTTGCACGCGACGCGGAGGGACGTACGGATGTCCTCGCACTCCCACACGCTGCCGTGCGAGCCATGGCCGATCACCCGCAAGCGCCGGTAGCGGCCGCCAATCAGAGCGTCGCTGCTTACGGAGTCGCTATTACCATTGGCTGTGGCATAATCTCCGGAGGGCGGCGGAGGGAACGCCCGTCCGCTTTTACCACGAAGACGCACGTCGAACATCGCATGAAGTGGCGGGCAACCAGAAAGCAGTTGCGTAAAGCGGTTGAAATACAATGGAGAGGTGTGAGAGTCGGGTGCGGAAAAAACTCGCAGTAGAGAAAAAGCTGTCACCCTCAAATACTAGAGTGTGGAATAAACCTCGGAAATGGACAAGATCGAGGTCGAGGGCGAGCGGCAGTCGAGCGAGTGGAGAGGTCTCGGACCGCCCGACCCACTCGAGTCGATCGCTACTAGCTCTACGTTCGACCTGTCCTGCGTCTCCAAGCGTTTTTGAGAAGTCCAAGAATCGAAAAAACGAGCGGTCCGACCTTTGCTGAAACCAGTATGTTCGTCGAGCTGTTTCTACTACACGGTTGGGCAATCACGCAAGTCTTTCTCGCTCTTTCAGCTCTCATGGCTTCACGAATATCCTGGCGCGCTGCTTTCCAATTCAGAAGCAGCGGTGGTCATACGCAATACAGCTTGCCGTAAGGTTGACGTGATGTGAATCATTCTTTGCGTGATCCGAGTATGCGTTCTCCAGCAGCAGCTGATGATGATGTTGATTGATGTGTACCGGCAATGCGCTGTGATAGTTTTGTCAAGGAGACCCGAAATTGCGTGAGAGCAAAAATCAGTTGAGCTTGGTGAGGTGAAACGCGTGCCTGGAGAACAGGGCCGCTGTGATGTGTCTCGTGATGTTGTGGTGGTGATAGCTAGCGAAGTGAAGTTCGAGGTTTTGATGTCAGCCAGGTATAGTCCAGCGCTGCGTAGCGGTGCAAAACGGTGAAGAGGTTCTGTTACGTGCACTCGGACTACAGCACAGTTCGAGGGTGACTGCTGGTTGCGTGGCACGGGCGGCTGATTTACTCATTTTGCTTTGGCGCTGAGCTGGAAGAGCCGCCAGGGCTGCGCAGTTCCGCGCAGAATTGACGTGGCCGTGACGAAGGAAGGCAGCCCTGGGGGTGGCATTTCCGACAGGCAGGCAGGAGATCCTCCCCCCCCGCCGCAAGCGACAGCAAAGCTTTGCCGCGGGGCGGAACTGGTTCTGCGCATGGCCCTTGAGGCCTCGCGCGCACTCCGCACCGCAGACCTGGGCGAAATTGTCTCGACAGGTTGGGTCTGGCTGGTTTGGTTGTGCCAAGCGTGAATGCAGGCGAGTTTGGCTTGGTGCACACGCACATTGCCAATAGGCATGGCGGCGCACCGCGCGATGATTGCGCAAGCAATTTGGGGATTTGGTCCAGTTTTGGGGCGCTCCAGCCTGGAGCTGCTCTTGCCTGGGCCAAGCTCCCCTTAGGTTCGGGAAATCGTCCAGGTTTCCGGCTTGTTCGTGTACAGTGCTGCATTGTCGAGCCAGCACAGCAGTCGCTGCGCTGCACGGCACCAAACGTGTGGGTGGTGGTGGTGGGGATTTGCAGGAGGAAGCAATTTCGGCAGGAGCAGCTGCTCGAAATCAAGCACAGTAACGACCAGCCCAAAAAGATTTTTTGCGGTCGCTCAGAATGTGTGTACAGTAATGCTTAAGCATCCAGTTCTAAAAAAAGGATTTGAATGAACCGGAGTAGGAAATCCTTGAAGGGCTGTCGGCTAAACTAATGTGGAGTGAAAAGAAAAGCGAGCGCATCCGTGGTACACCCTGGGTCGCATGTTGCCCATCGTGACCTGACATCCATTCGTCGGTTTCGCACGACAAATCACAGCATCTGCTGCACCAATAAAATCAGGTCCACTCATCTGGCTTACCACCTGCTGCATCAATTCCAGGCAGAGAGTTTCCCAGGCAGATTGAACCTGGAAAACGATCAGACGACCGTTGAATCACACCAAAGCCGAGATTCCGTTTGAGCAACAGCCTGGCAGTGAAACATTGAATTTTGGATGTGGTTGGTGGAAGTTCACGTTGTGGCCTGATTTTGGCAGAATACACTACTTCCAAAACTCAATACAAGAGTATTTGTTAAGGATGCAATGAATCTAGGTAGAGAGGATTGCACTAGTGTTTAATGAGTACAAAGTATGAGCGAAGGCATTAGCGAATACTTATACGCGAAAATGTGCCAACGGTAACGCGGTGCGTGCGAGCTAGCTAGTGCTACGCTGGCGCGAGGTTCGGGCTAGTCCCGAAGCGTAGGCCGACTCGGGTGCTCCAACAGTGCGATGTTTGGTGAAACAGTGCTCGCGAAGTTGGCGAAGCCCCGTTAGCAGTAACGGGCGAACAACGGCTGCTGCTGTACGTGATGTTGATGGTCGCGATAAGGAATAGCGAGCAAATTCCTTACAGTCTTTAAAAGAATGTACAAACCAATGACCGCTTCTAAGGAGACATAGAAAACCAGACCTAAGTTATCCATGACTTAGTCCTGTTGCTGTTGGAACAAACTCACTTCAGTTGAATTGCTCGAAGTATTGCGGAAACCTTTTGAGGATTAGTCTGCATGAGGCATCCTTCAGAAGGCATACTGCAACCGTAGGGAGTGGGGGGAAAGAAAGGCGATAATTTGCACTAGGAGGAAACCATGAATGGCATAAAATGTGCAATAATTGGTGTACTGACCTTATTGCTCGAAACGGGCAGAGATGATTCAAGTGTATCTTCTCTGTTTGCGGTGCCAGCGATCGTGCCGATGCATGGATGTGTGATACACCTGATTGCATAACAATACTTGCTGCATTCTCTGGAGTTACTCCACATGAAACATTGAAAACAGAGACAAGTCATGCAATGCCCTGTTAAAGAAGAAGAAAAAAATATAAAAGAAAGTGGACGCCCTGACAGCTGGCTGTGTTATTTTTTTAAATGTGGGGCCTTTTGTAACCATGAGCGTCCTTACCTCGTCCATGTTCACCTCCACACCAGCCCTTCCAATCAGTACATCCCCCCTGCCATGACTTGGATCCCGCCATGGCTTGGATCCTTCCTCTTGCTTCTGTCACCAGCCTCTCTATCAGTCCCACCCCCTCCTCTGCTCTAGCCTGCCAAAACCAGACACCCCAGCCCAGCCCATCTACTCGTCTCTCCCCCCCACGAAGCCCTCACCTCCACCCATGGCTTGGATCTTTCCTCTTGGTTCTGTCACCAGCCTCCCTATCAGTACCACCCCCTCCTCTGCTCGACCCTACCAAAACCAGTCACTCCAGCCCGTCTACTCATCTCTCCCCTCCCACGAAGCCCTCACCTCCAACCATGCCTTGGATCCTTCCTCTTGCTTCCGCCACCAAACTCCTTATCAGCACAATGCCCTCCTCTGCTGTTCCTTGCTGCCCTGACGTCAGCAGCCTCGTCACTCCATTCGATATAAGGACCTGTTATTATAAGGAACACAAGGTATGTGTGAAAGGCCTGGTGAAAAAAAGCCTGCAGCCCCCACCAGCCCCCCTATCAGCCCAATGCCCTCCTCTTGCTTCCCCCACCAGCCTCTCTATCAGCTTCACTCCCTCCTCTGCTGTCGCCCGCTGCCCTGACATCAGCAGCCTCGTCACTCCATTCGATATAAGAACCTGGTTTGACGAACACGAGGCATGTGCGAATGACCCAATGAAGGACACAAGATTTGTGCTGATACAGCCCCACTCCCTTCTCTGCTGTCGCCCGCTGCCCTGACGTCAACAGCCTCGTCACTCCACTCGATATAATCACCTGTTCTAAAGAACACAAGATATGTGTCCAAGGCCTAGAGAAAGAAAACTTGCAGCCCCATCCAGCCTCCCAATCAGATTCACTCCTCCATCTGCCGTCGCCCGCTGCCCTGATGTCAAAGGCCCGGTGGAGGGTGGCTTGATGTGAAGGGAGCGCAGCACATGCATGAAGAGTCTTTGAGCGCGTGAGAGGAACAACTCACCTGCAGAGCACCTATGGGGTCTTTCGTGTGGTCAAAGGCTCGGTGGAAGATGGCTTGCAGTGAACGGCGGGCGACACATGTGATAGAGGGGAGACGGGTCAGAGAGTGGGCTGACAGGGAGCTCACCTGCAGCGCACCCATGGGGTCTCTTGAGTGGTCAAAGGCCCGGTGGAGGGTGGCTTGCCTTGACTTGCATTGACTGGCAGTGAATGGCGGGCCACGCATGTGAGAGAGGAGAGATGGGTCAGAGAGTGGGTGGACTGACAGCTCACCTGCAGCGCACCCATAGGCTCGCGTGTGTGTTCAAAGGCCCGGTGGAAGATGACTGGCAGTGAATGACGGGGCAGGAAAGACCAGGGTAGTTGTGAGTTTTTGTATTGGCTGAGAACCCACCTTCAGTGCACCCATAGGATCTCTTGTGTGGTCAAAGTCCCGGTGGAAGGTGACTGGCAACAAATGGCAGGCCGCACATGTGAGAGAGGGGAGATGGGGCAGAGAGTGGGCTGACAGGGGACTCACATGCAATGCACCCATAGGGTCTCGTGTTTTGAGACGTCTCAAAACACTTCTTCAATCACCCATAGGGTCTCGTGTTTTGAGACGTCTCAAAACACTTCTTCAATCACCCATAGGGTCTCGTGTTTTGAGACGTCTCAAAACACTTCTTCAATCACCCATAGGGTCTCGTGTTTTGAGACGTCTCAAAACACTTCTTCAATCACCCATAGGGTCTCGTGTGTGGTCAAAGGCGTGGTGGAAGGTGACTGGCATGGCTTGCAGTGACGGGAGGGCAGCACACACCACGAGTCTATGAGAGGCTGAGAGCAACAACCCACCTGCAGTGCACCCATGGGGTCTCTCGTGTGGTCAAAGGCTCTGTGGAAGGTGACTGGCAGTGAATGGTGGGCCGCACTTGCGAGGAAACGGTGGAGCTGAGGAGGAGAGAGGGGGAAGGGAGGGGTGGCAGAGAGTGGGTAGAGGTTAGTGGGCGATGGGGGAGGAAGGGAGGAAATAGCTCGGTGGAAGGTGACTGGCAGTGCATGGTGGGCCGCACTTGAGAGGAAACGGTGAATGGCGGGCGAGGGAAGGGGAGAGCTAGGAGATCGGAGTTTGGTAATGGGGGGAAGGGAGATTGTTTCAGTCAGCACATAGAGGAGGAGGGAACGGAAAAAGAGGGAACGTAAGGAGGGAGAGCGGGACGGGGGAGGGAAGGGGAGAGCCAGGAGCTGCAGTGCCAGTCAGTAGGGGGAGCCTGGGAGGGAGGAGGGTGAAAAGTAAATATTTTGGAATAGTTATGAAATCCAAATGTATTATTGCAGTGGAGGTAACATTGTATAGGCCCAAGAAAAAGACGTTTCGAGGGGGTTCTTTTTGGACGCAAGAAGTGGCGCGGGCCTGGGTAACTTATGAGGCATTTCAATACATCATCTACATTTGTTGTATCAAGTCGTTAGGGGATTGACATATATGTTACCTTAGGTTCATCAATGTCGCCTGAAGGAGTCAAGGCGCCCACCACCACCCCAGCTGCCCCAGCCACAGCAACTTCTGAGGCATTTCAATACATGATATGCATTTGTTGTTCCAAGTCGTTAGGGGTTTGACATATATGTTACCTTGGGTTCGTCAATGTCGCCTGAAGGAGTCAAAGCGCCCACCACCACCCCAGCTGCCCCGGCTTCAGCAACTTGTGGGCCTATCTTAGAAAAAGATATGCTTATATCCATGCATTATGTAACAGATGCTGGTACAGACGTTACCTTGGGTTCGTCAATGTCGGCTGAAGGAGTCAAAGTGCCCACCACCACCCCAGCTGCCCCGGCTTCAGCAACTTCTGAGGCATTTCAATACATGATATGCATTTGTTGTACCAAGTCGTTAGGGGTTTGACAGATACGTTACCTTTGGTTGGTCAATGTCGCCTGAAGCAGTCAAAGCGCCCACCACCACCCCAACTACCCCAGGCATAGCAACTTCTGAGGCATTTCAATACATCATATACATTTGTACCAAGTCGGTAGGGAATTGACATATTTGTTACCTTGGGTTCGTCAATGTCGCCTGAAGGAGTCAAAACGCCCACCACCACCCCAGCTGCCCCAGCCATAGAAACCTCTGAGACATTTTGAAGTATAACGTACATGTATATACCAAGTTTTTTTGGGATTGAAATACTTGTTACCTTTGGCTCGTCGATATTGCCTGAAGGAGTCAGAGCGCCCACCACCACCCAGCTGCCCCAGGCATAGCAACTTCTGAGGCATTTCAATACATCATATACATTTGTACCAAGTCGGTAGGGGATTGACAAATTTTTTGCCTTGGGTTCGTCAATGTCGCCTGAAGGAGTCAAAGCGCCCACCACCACCCCAGCTGCCCCGGCTTTAGCACACTCGATAATGTCACACTCCATGGCCTGGATGCATGAATGGGAATGCGATAGTAGCAGATGCACAATAAGCTGCGGTGCTCCGGCCTTTTGATCCAGCTTTAGCGCACTCTGTAATGTCACACTCCATGGCCTGGATGCACGAATGGGAATGGCAAATACACGCAGATTGAGAAATGAAACACGGGCTTTAGGGTTCCAGGGCGACAACAAAAGCGTGAGTGGACAAGTGAGAGAGCAAGTGAGTGAGCGAATGAGTGAGCAAGGCGAGTGAGTGAGTGAGTGAGTGTGCGAGCAAGTGAGTGAGAAAGTGAGCCAGTGGTTGAGAGAATGAGTGAGCGAGTAAGTGAGTGAACAAGTAAGTGAGTGAGTGAGCGAGCGAGTACGGGAGAATAATGGAAAGCAAGAGCTTACGGGAGGAGCGGACCTTCATCTCGTCTTCACTAAAGACAAAATCGCCCGCCCGAGGTCGAATTAGCACATGCACAGGAATGGGAGTTGCCTGTACAACAGCCATCACCACTTTTGGCACATGCATGACATTGGGGGATGGGGTGGGGGATGGGAAAGGAGGAAGGAGAGAGAAACAGACATGCATGTTGAAGATTGCCTGAACAACTCCCGTCACCACCTTTGGGACATGAATAAAGCTGGGAGGAGGAAAAGAAGAAGAAGAAGAAGAAGAAAAAAAAAAACAAACAAACAAACAAAGAAAAATCGCTCACTCACAGCCTATACTGGGAGTGACCCCTCCTTCCACCAGACTTGAGCACAGCTCCACTCGATGGGCGCCACCTGGCAAGCAGGAATTGGATGGTTACATGAGGGGGAGGATGCAGAGGTAAGGGTGGTTATTCAAACTAGTACTTGGCAGCACAGCAGCAGCAGCAGCAGTGAGCAGAATTCGCCAGCATTCAAGAGAATTCGGCAGAAATCAACAGAATTCGGCAAGAATCTAACAGATTTCGGCAGAATTCAGCAGAACGCCCACCTTTATGAGCGGCGATTGCGGAGGCCACCGTTTCGACGCATATCTCTAGCTGTACGCTCATCACGACGACGGCGGGGCGAAACGAGGCGAGGCGAGGCGAAAGGTGGCGAAGGGAGGCGAGACGAGGCGAATCGTGGTGAAGGTAGGCGAGATGAGGCGAGGCGAGGTGAAGTGAGGCGAGGCGAGTGGAGGCGAGGGGAGACGAAAAGAGAGAAAATGGCACTCTCGCCTAGTCACTTCGGAGGCGCCTCAATACGCGTATCATAGGGACGGGACAAATCAGTCAGCAATGGATTTTTATTTCCTAGGGAGGTAATAATGTGCAAAACATGATCACCTCAGAAAGGAAAACAAATATTTATATGCAGTGGTCACTGGTTAGCATAAGGTCGGCAATCATCGTAGAACGAGGATACGGGGCGTAGATCGTACAGAAGAAAACCCGCCAAAGACTTGCCTCGATGGCTTTCCAGGCCACATGGCCAGTGATTACTCGTCTGAAACTGTCCTATCATCAGCGCAAATGAAACAGCGCCGCAAGCATGAAACGAGAGGCGAAGTCGTACAGCAATGAAAGAGGTGGTGAAGTTTCCGAACGACAGCCCAGCAGCGACCACAAATTGCACCAGTCGCTGTCAAATTTCCTGGGTGTCATGTCATCCCTAGCGAACTGCGATCGTACGAGCTGTTCGCGAATGAAAGGTGAAGCGTTGCACTCCTGCATAACGTGCCACACCTTGGAGAAACCCTCACTACCACCTAAACACAAAACTAATCGAAGGCACCACTCCCTCAAGGGACATTCAGCCCTTCGCGATCGTCGCACCCTTCGTCCTCCATGTCACAGCTTTCGTTACCCCGTGCAGTTGTCGCCAGTCTCTTCCGCGCCAATTTCACTACTCCATCTCCTCTTCTCCATTTGCAACTTCTGCATGTCCTGTCATGTCTATGCTGATTTTGCGAGCCAATTTGGGAACTAGGCGAGTATTCACACGCAGCACCTGCTGCGTTTTTCTGTGACGCGAGCTTTTTCTTGTTTTTGCTCTTCGCCGCCTGTAAATACGTTACTGAGAAACCCAGAGTCAAGGAGAAACAGCGAGTCCAAGTACAAGTTAGAGGCAAAGGGATAACCAACCGCGCAGCAGGGCGATCAGTAGGCGACTCGCGTCTCTGTATCATCAGCAGCCATGATGCACATGACCTTCTACTGGGGCGTAGAGGCCACCATCCTCTTCTCCTCCTGGCACACGCGCACTCTCCCGCAGTACTGCCTCGCTATCGCGCTTGTCGCGCTCGCCAGTATCGCGTACGAGGGCCTTAACTCTCTGCGCGTCAACGTGGCAGCGGGAAAGCTGGCGCGGGCGAGCACTGTTTCCGACGAATCGACGAGCACACCACTGTAAGAGTGCCTCCCACTTAGTTCATTTTCATCGCGGTAGTCACCCTCGCGTGCGTGGAATTTGCTCCCCCGCGTCAACCCGACATCGTCGAAGCTCTCAATGACCCCTGTTATTCCCATTTCGCGATTTTTTAGCAGCTAAATTCTGGCCTCCTTCAATTCCTATCACTTTAATTGAATTTCTGGATATGCCCCTGAATGATTAGCCCCAGTGGATGTACATTTTGGGACTTGAGGAGAGGCCAGAGGCCCCCTGTTTTAATTTCCCAAAGACTGACTGTGCAATTACATTTTCTTTCTCCTTCCACTTCAGGCTTACCGGAACCTCTCGGCCTCCAGCTCGGCTTTCTTGGGCAGACAAGCTACCTCTCTCCCTGCTCTACATTGCCACGTCTGCGCTGGGTTACCTCCTCATGCTAACCGCCATGTCCTTCAATGGGGGGATCTTCATTGCTATTGTTGTTGGGCTAGGTGTGGGCCAGTTTATGTTTGGATTGAATCAGGCTAGTCTTGCATCTCAGGCCAATGGGGAGTCATGCTGTGCATAGTGATGCTGATGTTCTTGTGTGATTGAAAGCTCCAAATGATTGACCACAGCACACATCCAGGCATACCGTACCAGCCGATTCTCTCAACGATCAACCCTTTATTCCAGTATCAGTTTGTTTTTGTATCAGGGTATACGTATGTAAAAAATGCTCCATGTATGCAGGCACACAAACGTGTTCAGTGTAGGATGGGAACTACGTACGGTATCAGGACATTACAATCAACACTTCCAGTCTTCACTCCAACTAGTATTCTCGTTTGATAAACGTGTAAACCTTTTGATGCATAAACATTTGTCAACCATACTGAAAATAATATTTGAAACCACATGTGACAGAATGAGGGATGGGATAGAAAAACCGACTATATGATGTTTAGCGGTATTCATAAAAAACAGTGTACCCACTGTAACAGATGTTTTGTCCCGCAGCAAGTCGTAGCTGTGGTGGTCTTCCCAATCAGGCGTCATGGCATGTCGCAGATGCGACCACGAAACACCCCAACTGAAACATCTGTTTGACGAACCATGCCTGCCATCGACGGTGAACCAATGTCTCCTCCCAACGAACGTTTCCATCCAACGGCTAAACTTCATGCGACGCACGGAACGACTAGCAGGTCTTCTGCCCTAGGAGGGAAATCTGACAGAGCGACACCCTGCTGTTGTTCCAGAAGTGAAGCCTGGCGGGAGTTGGGTGGAAAGTCCTTGTTCCTCGCAATCACATTTGAGGGTCTTTCTTCCTAATCCTTCCAGATTGTTTTGTTTTGGAGAGCATCTGAAGCCCTAGCATACACTATCAGTACCTAGTAGATCGGCGCAGGGTGTTGTTTTGCTACGGCATCCGTGCAGATTCTAACTTCCTCCCGTTACTTTAGCCGCATCCATGGCTGATCAATTGTCCGAGGATCAGATTGCGGAGTTTAAGGAAGCTTTCAGCTTATTCGACAAGGATGGAGATGGTGCGTGCGGGTTTCTGACATTGGAGAAGGATGTTATTTTTTGGTCCAGAGTTACGACGGAACATATTAGGAACATGGTTTCCTTGTTAAGACCTGCCCTAAGATGCAATGTTTCGCATTTCTCACAGGTAGCATCACAACGAAGGAGCTCGGAACCGTCATGCGTTCGTTGGGACAGAATCCAACTGAGGCTGAGCTTCAAGACATGATCAACGAAGTCGATGCGGATGGTAACGGAACGATCGATTTTCCAGAGTTTTTGAACCTTATGGCGAGGAAAATGAAGGTAAGTGTGTTTCATTATCTTCTGAATATGCACGATCAGGCTGTAGTGGAAGAAAATATTGACATGTATTGTTTTCAATGCAGGACACCGATTCTGAGGAGGAATTGAAGGAGGCGTTTAAGGTGTTCGACAAGGACCAGAACGGATTCATCTCGGCGCAGGAGGTGCGCCCATGCTTGGTTTTAGGCTTGTTCGTGTGTTCTTCCCCTTCATTAAAATTGCGTCTTCATCTCTTGCATGCCTTTTTTTCCTTTTGTTCGTGCTTCTCTCTTGATTGTGAAACCGTCTTCATCTCTTGCATTTCAATTTCCTTTTTTTGCAGCTTCGGCACGTGATGACGAATTTGGGAGAGAAGTTGACAGACGAGGAGGTTGATGAGATGATTCGGGAGGCTGATGTGGATGGAGATGGACAAGTGAACTACGAGGAGTTTGTGAAAATGATGATGGCTAAGTAGGCTAGTATTTTAGTTGTTGTGAGAGCATGCTTTTCAGGTTATATTCTGCAAGGTAGACCAGCAGCATATGTAGGATCCAGAATGAAGATGCAAATGGTGCTTAGCTTACAGACACCGTATTTTTTGTCCTTCTAGCAATGTGGAGTTGCAACAAATGGGTGGTAGTTCCGTATTGTGAAGTGAATATACATATGGTACCGTATTGATGTTGTCTAATTCCATTAGATACGGGCCACTTTATCCCCTTTTCCAAACCTCCAAGAGCACACTCACCCCCAACGGACGGAGGACAGACAGACGCTGACACAGACGCAGCAACCAGACTAGTGGCGAAGTCGAGACGACAGTGAGCAGCAAAGTCGACAAGCTCGGTAACTAAGGCAGACGCAGCAGTGGACTCAAAGGAAGGGTCAGTGACAACAGTGGCGAGGAGACGCGTGACAGTAGGACTGGCAGCACGAAGGGAGTCAGACGCCGGGTCAGCAAGGGCAGGAAGAGAGGACGCAGGAGGAGACGGCAAAGGGACACGCTGTGGCGCAATGGAAGGACGCAGTGCCATCTGATGCGTGCCAGGGACTGCAGGAGGACGCGGACGTGGAGCACGACGACTAGTGCGAGCAGTGCGAACAGGCGACGCAGGACGCGACTCAGGCTCACGACGCTCAGCAAGACCTCCAGTAGGACCAGCGTAGGGAGAAGGAGCAGGCAGTGGGGAGGCAAGCTGTAACTGGGACTTGGACTGGACAGGCGGTGGACACTCGAAGGAAGGAGTAGGACCAGAAGAAAGCGGAAGACCAAGAACCTGCGCAAGGAGTGGAACGAAGTACGGCTGCGGCCGCGAAGCACCTCCAGAACCAGCAGGGACAACACCAGCACCCCCAGCGTCAGCTCCAACTCCAGCAGCACCAGTAGCTCCAGTACCTCCAGCAGCTCCAGCTCCAGCAAAACCACCAGCAGACACACCCGCTCCGGCTCCTGCTCCCCCAGTAGCACCCACTCCAGCAGCACCACCAGCTCCAGCTCCACCAGTAGCTCCAGTACCAGGAGCACCACCAGGCCCAGCAGCTCCAGTACCTCCAGTACGAGCACCTCCGGGACCCGTGGCTCCAGCACCCCCAGCAGAAGTAGAAACTCCAGGACCGGCTCCAGTAGCACCACCAGCTCCAGTACCTCCAGTAGCAGCAGAAACTCCACCAGAGGCAGCACCTCCAGCTCCAGCAGCACGACTCCAGCGGCGAGCAAACCACTCGCGCAGCTCCTGTGGAGAAGGAAGCTCCCGCCGGGACAACGCACCCGAAGGACCGCCAGGTCCAGCACCGGCAGGCTCCACACCCCCACTCCCAGCAGCTCCAAGGTCAGCACCCCCAGAAGAAGCACCCCCAGGCTCCGCACGCTTAGGCTCAGCACCCCTAGACCCAGCACCCCCAGGCTTCGCACCCCCAGGCTCAGCACCCCCAGACCCAGCACCCCCAGGCTCCGCACCCCCAGGCTCAGCACCCCCAGACCCAGCACCCCCAGACTCAGCACACCCAGGCTCAGCACCTCTAGACGCACCAGAGTCAGCAGCTACCTCGACAGGCTCGACTGCATCTACCTGGGACACACCGGAGGGAGCAGGACCCTGAGGGGGGAGGGGGTCTACCGGGGGGGGACCGGGAGCGAGGAAGAGCGGCGGGGGGGGGAGGGGGGCAGTGCGGTAGAGGAAGAGACGGTAGTACGGAACTGACTCGTCAAACGTGACGTCCTGGGAGGACAGAACACGACGCGAGGTGGGGTGGTAAAACTGCCAACCAGGCGCATCAGGGGGGAAGCCGAGGAAGACGCAAGGAACAGCACGGGAGGACAGCTTGTCCGCAGACAAGTCTCGAACGAAGGCTCGAGATCCCCAGACACGGAACGCAGACGCATCACCAACCTTCCCCGTCCACCGCAAAGTAGGGGAGGTCTCCGGCAGGGAGACCCGGGGCTGAAGGTTGATCTGATGTGCCGCGTACTGAACCGCGAACGGCCACGGAAAATGAGGAGCAGCCGCATGGATCATGGACGTACGAGCGACATCCATGACCATGCCAATGCGGCGCTCAGCAATCCCATTTTGCTGTGGAGAGGCCGGAAGCATGAACGTCTGGCGGATGCCCTCCGCACGACAGAAGGCTCGCAGAAGGTCGGAGGAAAACTCTCCGCCTCTGTCGGAGTGCAGACGCAGAACAGGAAAGTCCGAGCCGAAACACTCTCTGAGCTGGAGACGAGCAGCGCGGATCCAGTCGATCAACACCTCAGTGACCTCACCCTTGCTGCGCAAGGGGAAGCCTGTGGTGTAACGCGAGTAGTCGTCAACCACCAGCAGGAAGTAACGCTCGTGACCCTGTCCACGGACGCGGCTGGGCCCCACACGTCCATGTGAAGAGTCTGCAGTGGAGCCTCTGTGGGGGGAAACTCGGAGCAGTGAGGAGCGGCGCGCTGCCGCCCCTCGACGCAGGGAACGCAGGTAGGGGCAGGTCCCGGGGGAAGGGGAGGGAGGGACCGGGGGAGACCAGAGACAAGGACATGGGAGGCCATGCCTCGGAGACGAGGCAAGGAGGGGTGACCAAGTCGGTGGTGCCAGAGGAGGGTCTGGTGGGACAGGAGGCGACACGAGCAGGGGGCAGACTCAGGACCGGACCGAGACGCTGCAGCAAACACCTGACTCGACACAGCTACCTGACCAGACGCAGCAACCGGAGGAGACTCTGTGGTCAGTGTGTACAGGCTCGACCCCGGTCGACGGGTAAACGTGGCCAAGGGGCGGCCCGTCTGAGCACACGTGCAGTGGGTCACTCGCTGGCCTGCAGGAGTGAACTGGTCAACTCCTGCATCATGAAGGTCAGCACCACTCACCAAGTTCGTGGAGAACGAGGGGAGGTAGAGACCAGACAGGGAGCCTGAGGTCAGGGAAAAGGTACGGCAGCATGAGGCGGCTGAGCGCAGCAGTGGCAGGGGAAGAGTAGCGTGCAACTACAGCGTCGTACAGAGTCTTAGCACTCTTGTACTGACTAAAGTGCGCGCGCTCAGTAGGCGGTAGGTGACTGCGCACAGCAAGGCGGGCAGCAGCATCGCGCGTGAGCCACTGCGAGCGAACGGTACTGTCAGCATCAGCAGCATGGGCAGTAGAGGCGCCCGACGTAAGGTCAAACAGGGAGAGGCCATCTCTGCTATCGCACTGAAGGAAAAGCTGTAAATCATCTAGCCAGACATCAAAGGCAACCGCTCGACCCTCAGTATCAAAGGTGAGAAGGGTAGGACTAGCCATGATAAGTGCAGCAGGAGACTAGCAGTGGCAGCAGTGCAACTAAGCTAGGCAGGACAGTGCGACTCGGCAGGGCGACTCGGCAGCGCAGTGTGACTCGGCCAGGCTCTTACCAGGGGCAGAGCCGAGAGGTCGGGACGGGGTCGGGGCCGGAACAGGGCCGGGACAGGGTCGGGGCCGAGCAGGGTCCGGGACGGGGCAGCTCAGGGACCGGGACTGGGCCGGGTCGTGAAGGGACGGCGTAGGGGCCGCGTCAGGTGCCGTGGCAGGGGTAGCGTCGGGGGCCGCGTCAGGGGCCGCGGCAGGGGCAGCGTCGGGGGCCGCGTCAGGGGCCGCGTCAGGGGCCGCATCAGGGGCGGCGTAGGGGCCGCGACAGGGGCGGCGTAGGGGCCGCGTAGGGGCGGCGCAGGGGGCGCAGCAGGGGCGGTGCAGGGGCCGCGTCAGGGGCCGTGCAGGGGCCGCGGCAGGGGCGGTGTAGGGGCCGCGTCAGGGGCGGCGTAGGGGCCGCAGCAGGGGCGGTGTAGGGGCCGCGTCAGGGGCCGCGCCAGGGGCCGTGTCAGGGGCCGCGTCAGGGGCCGCGTCAGGGGCCGCGCCAGGGGCCGCGTAGGGGCCGCGCCAGGGGCCGCGTAGGGGCCGCGCTAGGGGCCGCGTCAGGGGCCGAGTCAGGGGCCGCGTCAGGGGTGACGTAGGGGCCACGTCAGGGGCCGCGGCAGGGCGCCGCCAGGGGCCGCGTCAGGGCCGCGTCAGGGGCCGCGTCAGGGCGCCGCCAGGGGCCGCGTCAGGGCGCCGCCAGGGGCCGCGTCAGGGGCCGCGTCAGGGCGCCGCCAGGGGCCGCGTCAGGGGCCGCGTCAGGGCGCCGCCAGGGGCCGCGTCAGGGCACCGCCAGGGGCCGCGTCAGGGCCGCGTCAGGCCACGTCAGGGGCCGCGTCAGGGCGCCGGCAGGGGCCTCGTCAGGGCGCCGCCAGGGGCCGCGTCAGGGGCGACGTAGGGGCCGGGTAGGGGCCGCTGAGGGGCCGCTTAGGGGCCGGATAGGGGCCGCGTAGGAGGCCGCGTAGGGGCCGCGTAGGGGCAGCGTAGGGGCCGCTAAAAAAATTTTAGGGCAGGGCGCAATGCGTGCGGGCAGCTAAAAAAAAATTCTTATGGTGGGCCCTTAGGAAGGAACGGTCCCATGTAGGAACCCGCTCTGATACCATGTGAAGAATGAAAACAGGAATGAATGAACTATGAATGAGTTTGGTACAAATAAGAACCTGTGCCCCTTAGAGACTACCCCACTACAGCCTAAATATGCTAAGGCATATATATCTGACAACATTTTCCAGAAAAACAGCACCCTGATTGCTCAGGGTTGAGAAGTAGTGAACTCTGAATGTTCAGGGTCGAGAATTGAAAATCAGGGTCGTAGTAATGCGCTCTTTCTTTACCGAAGACAGAAGTGACTGGCACTGCGGCGATGTGACTGACACTGTGGCGATGTGACTGGCGCTGTGTTAGAGCAAATCTATTTCGACCAATAACAACAACCTAAAATCTGACATTACAGATTAGCCCGATCTAGATGGTGGGTGTATGGGAACGAAACTTCGAAGAAACTTCGTCTCGATAAAGCGAGGGGGGGGGGGGGGGAGGATTACGTACGTGGGGGGCACTGAAATCAATGCGAAGGGGTTATCAGGAGGAAATTTCCGAGAAACTTCGCCCCGATAACATCGCA